ACATCACAACAACGAAAACTACTCAACAAGATTAAAACAAGGAAGTGAACAACAACAACATCAAGGTAGGTTCGGAATTGGCGCCGAATCTTGCTCTAGAGGTGGACCTGGGCAACGCCTCTTGTCATGACCCGGTTGTCTGCACTTTGAGCAACGCTTTGGACCCCGTCGGGCACGTTGTGATTGGTCCATTTCATTGTGAATCCTTTCGGTCCTAGGACGACCTTTGGTGCGCTTTAAGTGTAACGGTGGGATAATCAACTTCCCATTGTCTACAGGCCAATAAGCTTCATCCGGCAGGGGGCTAAAACTTGACGAGTAGGAGTTCCTGATCGCCTGTTCCGTGTAGTAAGGACTAACCAAACTGTAAGCGCTGAGGGTTATCGACTTAGCTACTGCCATTGCATGTGAACAAGGTACTCTTCTGTTTTGATACTTTTGGCATGTACACTCTCCGGTGCGAGTTTCTACGTGTAGAGTTACGGATTGACGATTATGCCCACGTCTTCCTCCACCCCAGATACCTGTTTGCACAGCAAAAATACCCTCATTGCGGTTGAACAGAACAACTCTGTGCTTACTTGATTTCTCTTCGATCTTCTGCATGCCGTCAAATATATGCTTAGCTATTGAATGACCAGCACGCTCCCTCCCTATAGCAGCATCCCGTCTCTTCACAAACCACTCGTTTACCTTCCAGTATGTCATCTCCACTAGGACAGATACAGGCATTGCCCTAATGCCCTTGTAGACTCCATTTATGCTCTCCCCATGGTTGGTAGTTGCAATTCCGAATCTAGCCCCGTTGTCCATGTGAAATGTCCACATGTGCAGATCTTGACCTTCTGCCCATACTGCTCCCGCCCGGTGTATTTGACGGATCGTCTTCATCTTCTGCTCGTACTTTTTTGGTTGATGTGCAACCGCTACAAGACCGGAGAATTAATAATTAATCCATAAGAATTGTCATTTGAACAATAAACCTTGAACAAGCACTGAATTACATTATTACCTGCACTCCATAATTGATCTCTGATGTCTTTCTTCTTGCCAAATTTGTGTTGGAAATTGGCTAGGAAGTGACGAATACACCAACGCCATGTCCATCCCCATTCGTCCGGGAAACCACGGACGGCGTGTTTAATCCCGGCATGTCGATCCGATATAATTGTAATACCCATTCTTTGTGTGACGTGGGCGTGTAGCTGGTCAAAGAACCATGCCCAACTTAGGTTGTTCTCCCCTTCAACTAATGCAAATGCTAAGGGAAAAATACTTAAATTTCCATCAACCCCAGTGGCAATAAGAAGAGTTCCTTTATACTTCCCAGTAAGGAAAGTTCCATCAACCTGTTAAAATGAATACTGAGTTAGTAAAAATTGAAATTAGTAAAGTAATGAAGTAGTACAATATTTTGAGTCCGTAATATACCTGAATCACTGGCATGCAGAAGGGAAACCCGTCAATGCATGGCTTGAATGTCCAGAACAGACGATGAAACATCAACTCGTTCTGTACTCGAACTTGATCTTCAGTTTCTACGTTGTTGTACCAAGGCACGGAAACCGTCCCAGGGTTGGACTCCTCCATTGCGGACATTAGTCTGGGGAGTAAAGCATACGAGTCATCCCAATCACCGTAGACATCAGCCATGGCCTTCTGCTTCCCATGCCACGCCTTCTTATACCTTATGGTGTAGGAGTGTCGATCCTTCACCTCCGCCATGATAGCTTTTATCTTGATATCTGGTTGTGCCTCGATAAGGTGCTTAATGGTTCTTGCCACTTTTTTTGCTTTCAGTTGCCGGTGATCCTGTGAAAGTATGGTTGAGGAGCAACTGTGGTTGTTCTCTGCTGTCCGCATGACCCAGACCCCCTTTCTCTTCATATATGCAGCACGAAGTTGCCACATACAACCCTCTCCAGCATTCTTACAAATGACATGCAGTTGTCCCTTGTCAGAATATTTTACCTTCCATTCGAAATTACGCCGCATGGCTTCTTCGCTAAAAGCGTCTTGCACATCGGCTTTTGAAGTGAACGCCATACCCACTTCCAAATTAGCAGTCGGATTATACACAGGCATGGGCCGATAGTCAGGGGCATCGTTCTGACCATATAAAAATTGATCAGGAACCTCTGTGTAGTAAGGCGTTGGTGCCTGGCGGAACGCCACCTCACTGTCATCGATATCGTCGTTATCGTCCGCATCTTCCTCCTCACTGACTGATCTCAAATCTTCCTCACTTTCATCGTCACTGGAGGCGAATGGATAGCTCGGCGAAGGAGGGTCATCTTTAGCAGCATAACCAGCATCGCCTTCTTGGTCATGCGAAGTACGCCCAGTTCGAAGGGTGTTTTCAATGTCACCCCACTCTGGACCCCAAGCAGGCCATTGATCACCGTCGGGCTGAACGATATCGACGGCAGTCTCACCACCATGTGGCAGGTATTCTTCCCACCCAACAGCTCCTTCAGAACTACCTCCTCCGTAGTTGCTTGAAGTACCTCCCCAACCATACCCTCCGGCAGAAGAACCTGCTCCGTAGTTACTTGAACTACCACCCCAGCCATACCCTCCTGCAAAACCATCATCATAAGAATACTGGTGAGAATGAGTTTCACTGACCGGCTCGGTCTCGACATACACCTCTGCAAGCCGCACCCCGTTCTCAGATATGAACTGTGTCATCATGTTCGCGTCGTCATCGTCATTTATGTCAACTCTTTCGTACATGACTCCGTCAGCACTCATGTTGGGATACCGGTAAGTAATTTGACGAACTCTCATTTGCCCGCCCGTACAAGTCCTTTCTGCACACCTGTCATGGAGTTCTTGCCACGAGAATCTCGACTCAATTGTAAGCGAACTGGATTCGCCATCTTCATAGTCGATCCCAATGTTCGAGTTTGTCACCCGACCATTCCAATAAATAATAAGCCGAAACTTCTTAAATTTACCCATGTCTGCAATTTATAATAATTAAGTATAGTATATAATTAGTACATTATGGATACAAAAACAATATCATCCAAAGCGATAATAAAATGCAACTAATTTATCTATTATGAGAAAACTAAACAAATTCATCTAAATTCATAACTAGCTAACTAACATCTATCATATCATAATTAAACTAAATAATATCATAACATATTTTCCAATAACCGCAATTCACTAAATACAAACAGTATAATTACTAACACATCAACATGTAAAAAATACATACTTATAACATACTCAATCCCGATCTATCATGATAACTAAACAAATTAATCTAAATTCAGTACTAACTAACTAACATATATCATTAATCTAAATATATAATTCTAACATACCTAATTCTAGCACATAATCAAAATGTAAACAATACATAATTCTAACATACCGAATCCCGACGAGTTTCTTGAGCAGTAAACTACGGAGGAACCAGCTGCGAAAACGATAATTTTGGTACTAATTTTCTGTTTGGCAGCAGGAGTGTTTGGCAGCAGGAGGGAAGAGGGGGCGTGGCTTTTTATAGGAAAAATTGGAGGCAATCACCGCTTTGGACAAAGGCGGTGAACCATCATCGCCTTAGTCAACAGCGGTGATGGCTAGGTAGCTGTTACCTACCTGTCCACCTACCAGGGCTGTGTAAAACGTGGGGGCAATCACTGCTGTGGACAACAGCGGTGATGGCTTCACTGTTGATGTCCAAAGCGGGGAACGTATCACCGCTTTTGACCACAGCGATGATGCATTCCCCGCTTTTGTCCAAGGCGGTGATGCGTACCCCGCTGCTTCACTGCTTTGGACAAAAGCGGTGATCAACATCACTGTCTTAGACAAAGACAGTGATGTTGAAACTGCTGTATTTTGGGAATTAGTTTTATAAGTACTGTATTTAGGGAATTTTTTTTAATAACTAGCGTATTCTGGGATTTTTTCCTTCCTTTTGATGTTCTCAGGAAGAATGTAGTGGAAGCACCAAAACCAAACCATCAATGGCAAACAGCAGTAGCAGTACGATACCTTCCCGCTAGGGGCTCAAGTTATTCGACTTGTAGCTACTAGCAATTCGACTCGGATTATCAAAGTTACAAGGTTCTGAACCTACCAAGTACAATCTTGTCTGTAAATTCCAAAGATTGGTGCAATGACATTGGGGATGAAGAGCTCCATCCACCCCAAATTTCAAAGTTTAAGATCACAATCACCTGTAAAATAATTTGATAGTCGTATTCTCATCCAGTTTGTATTTGATCGATCCGTAAGTGCCCATCAACACCCTAGTGCCCAAGATAACTGTATTCAACTGGAAATTACTTCGCATTTGCAGAAATAGCCTGCAAAAGTTGACAAGCTCGTCCAAGTTACATTAGGGAAAAAGAGCTAGAAGGTAGGGGTGAAAGTTTGACCCTGAAAACCCACTGACCCGTCCCGACCCTTCCCGTCCCTGAGGGTTGGGACGGGTCAGTTTGTCTATAGGGTTAGTTTAGGAACGGGTCAGCTTTTGACCCTATAAGGGTCGGGACGGGTCCCCTGTGACCCTTACGCCCTTAGCAACAACAAATATCTCATAACACATTGGACCTCTTCGTAAAAGTTTTAAAAGTTTAGGTACTAAATTGCAAAATAAAAAAATTTGGGTACCAAAATGTAATTTTACCATCAAAATTTAAGGACTTATTTGTAAAAAAAATAATTTTTAGGTACTAAATTGTAAGAAAAATAATTTTGGGTACCAAAACGTAATTTAAAAAAAGTAGTGTAAATTAGGGTCGACCCACTGACCCGACCCGTCTCATCCCGTCCCATCTCTTGAGGGTCAGATAGGGTCAAGAAGGAGACAGGGACGGGACAAGTCAGTTATACATCTTGACCTTTTAGGGACGGGTCAGGGACGGAAGGGACGGATCAGGGCAATTTTCAAGCATTATTTGGTGTTCATCGGTTTTGAAACAACCATAATCTTCTGTCCATTCTAGTGATATGAAACTTGTAGAATCTCTTAATATTCATGCAGTGGAGACACGATGCATTAGAAGAGCAAATTTACTCAGACGGAGACTTGCCTGATGTATTAATGGCTTTGCATGTTCCTCCCATTCAGAAATCCACCTTGAGTCCCCTGCTTCTGATGCCCCATTTCTCAGCGAAGCCAATGTATTGCAGTTGTCAGGAAATCCCTCAAACAACATCTATAAATATTTCAAAAGTCGTCAGGCTAGCAAGAAAATAACAAAATAACATCAATCCTCCCCGTACATATAAGTTGAAAGTTCAAAAGTACATTTGCATTTTATTCGTTGATACTGAATTTCAAGGCATCACCCATCTCTAATACATCCGCTCATGTTGCTTATGACAGTAGCATACAGAAAGAGGAGTTCATAGGAATTACAAGTTTCCATTGGATGTGATGTCCTTGATCTGTGTGTGGCTTGATATGGTGATTTAATCAATTCATAGTTAACATGGTGACTCAAATGGATTCAAAGCTTTTGGTATGTTAGTCACAGTTAACTCGAAGAAAACGCTTACGTACCAGAAGTTGATCTGCTAGCTCAGAAGATGATGAAAAGAGGAGTCCATTTTTGCCAACTTCCACCAATTCATGGATGCTGCGGTCCATAAGATAATCAAAAGAAGACAAACTTCACATATGAACAACTCGTGGATTCCTCAAGTAAAATCGGAAGAATGAAAGCGAACTGTAATTTACCAAGAGTAGGCAGCGGCACACACAGGCAGCCCACAACCAAACATATCTACAACCTGAAAGCCAGCAGAGAGTTTAGAAAGTAAATATGTGTTGAGTTGACACAAGCGCTCCTATGTTACACAAGGAGTGAAAATAGCGGAGGGAGATTATTGCAGGTTGAAAATAGTGGTTACAAGACATTTTACTTTGTTTGGGAGATTTGTAACAGTAACAGGATGGTGAAAAGTCAGGTTAGAAAATACTAGCAGACAGAGGTAGTTCTCAGCTGACTAATAATACGCAAGCATTGACCCTCTCCTTGCTCTTTATTCTTTTGTTAGAAAGGGGGAAATTAATATGCATTAAAGAAAACAGTAAGATAAACTTTAACCTCTAATTGCCAATCAAGAATATTAGCTTTACCTTCATTGGAAGATCCAATCCCGAAGATGAAGTGTGCAAGCACACACCAAGATCAGCAGAACCTGTGAATATAAAATAATAAGGCTATTAAGAACTGAAGTATACATACAACCCCTAGGGTTGGTCTAATGGTAATGTAGGGATGATAACATCCACAACACAGTCAGTTTAAACCTTAGCGCCATTATTTAAAGAAAAACGACTAAAGATTCAATACAAACAATTGAAAAAACAAAAAAACATCGAAACAGATCTTGTACCTAGAAGCAGAGGATAGTCCTCAGCTGACAACCACATTGTACGAAATGCAACATGCTTCAGCCGCAAGCGCTTTATCTTCTCTTCATACTGTTCCTTCTCCGGCCCTTTACCTTCATGTTTCAGTCATATATCCACATTTAAATGATGGGAAAAGGTTGAAGATTGAGAGCTATGCTGCTACACAAATTAAATAATCACTTAACCTGTAATAACAAACAGTAGCCTAGGGTACAAAGTCTTCTTTCCTTGAGCCATCTCTTTCCAAAGAACCTCTTCATCAAGACCATCATCTTCATTCAAGATTGCAGTAACTCGTCTGTCATACATAACAGCAGCTTCCAACAGAATGCCAAAATCTTCATCAGGTGTCCTGTAATAACCCCTCTAAAATGAATATCTTCGAAGGATTTACATTTGAAAGTAAACATAAAAGTTCCCACTAGACAGAATATTGGATTATATTGAGCACAGCCACATGATCAACAAGTTCAAATGAGCTTAGCATAGTGATCTGCTTGGGCTTCTGCACATTACTTCAATCATATCCTTCCCTAACAAGTTAGGTAAGACATTCTGCATACATATTATCAGGAGTCTACAACTCCTTACCAGCTTGTACTGCTAACAACAAGTGCCGGTCGATATGGTTTAAGAAAAACATGACCATCAGTCATCGTGGTAAATAGAGTTTCCTTTACACCTTGGTCTTCTAATAATAAACTTTCTGCAAAAGAGGGGGCAAAAAAAAAAAAAAAAAAAGAGTAAAATAAGGGTGACATGTGTAGAGGCATAGAAGTGAACCTCATCGGAAATGGTAAGAAGTCTCTGATTACCAAAGCTAACACAATCTCGGATGCTAGGAGGCTGAGTGATACTTTTACCTAGCCTGCAAAACAACTGAAAATGATGCACTTCACCTATGAAGCAAGAGTTAAATTTGTCACACCAATAAATTTCCGGAAAGAAAAGCAATACCTTGTGTTTTTCTTCGATTGGAGTAGGATGAAAAAATTCTGGAGGCTTATCATATAGAACTGTGGCACTGTTGGCTCGCAAAACAAACCAGTAGCAAATGACTTACCAAACGATGATGAAAACAAGGATTCAGAAAAACTGTGGGAGTTTGGGCTGACCCTTACTTAATTCCCCAGTTCTGAGCTAATTCATGTTGCATTGCCTTTGTTACACACAGGGAATCAATAGCCATCTTACCAAAATGCTGCTCAAACCTAAATGAATGACATAAGTCAGTACAGGAATAAGTGTAAGAGCATCATTTAGCAATATGCCGAAAATGCCTAAAAGAAAAGCGACAAATTACCAATGATATACTGCAACAAATCGACTATTTCTTCCCACAGAGAGAGCCATCAATGTGTATCCAAAGTTGTGCCAGTCAATTATGAATGAAGAATTCTGAAACCAGCTTGCCCATTTCACTGCCATCAAGGTTGGTACGGATGGTGGATTCTATTGAAAAAGTATTTGTGAGAATCGGATTGGTTTTAATTTTAACAACATGAAAGGACCGTCAACAGCAACAGACTAAAAGTTAACTTGGATTGTATGCACGGTTAGGAAAATTAACCCATCAGCAAAAGTAATGTATGCAACTCATATGTAATTGGACTGTAAGATCATACAGATATTGAGACAAAGTTCAAGACATCTGTACTTGTATTAAGCTAGAAACAGAACTTCATGATAGAAGAGAAAATACCCTTACACTATCAACCTAAAGTAGTAAACTCACCTGAACCAGGAAAACATCAGGTCTTACAATTTTGATGCAGAGATACCAAAGCAACATAAGAAACTGAATCAATGGCTTTAGTAGAAGAACCAAAGGTTTAAGGACCTTTGGCAGGCCCTGAAGAAGTATAGGTTTCTGCACGTCGAGAGCATAAATACAAAGCAAAGATACATCAGTTCTATTACAAGAAATAGGAGGCATTGTGTATGTTGACTAATATATCCTGATCTAGCAAAAGTTTCCATTTGTACCATGTTGTGGACATGGATAGACTTGTGCTCCACTACTGCAGCATGTGGCACAGATCCTATCATTACAAAATAAGTTATGTGTTAATCGTTTAAAGGGCTGAACAACAATATTGGCTAAGAGGTTTTACATGCATCTCACCAACTAGGAAAACTGAACATGGTTTTTCTACGCTTCAAGAAACTAGAGCATTCATAAATACCCAAAAAATGTTTTCAAGAGAATCAGAAGTTAGCCAGGCTAAGGAAACACAATAAACATAGCAATTAAAGAATATGTACTGGTGTTAGAACACTTGTACGCCTGTTGTAGAGGACAGAAATACCACAAACATTCATGGTTAAAGGAAGAGAGACATTTGAATGAATGATTCCGAGATACATAAACACGAAAAGAAACAAAGATACCAATTCTGATGGTTTAAGCTAATTCAGAAACAAAAATATGATCACACTCAATGACCTTTACTCCCGCCAACCTGAAAGTCATCCCAGATCACTAAAGCCCTCAGTTTTCCTTTAATCAAGTCAATTCAAAGGATTTAAGTTGGGTTTGATACCAATTCTGTGGCAGAATACTTCGGGAGATAAAGAAAGAAAAACAAGTTTCCCAGCAGATCCAAAGAGCATTTTTCTGGAACGTCCAAGGAAACTTGGTTTCGTCTTTCTTAAGCCACAACCTAGCATGCTAAATAGAACCAACGAAATTTTCAGTCTTCTTCAAAGAAGGGTATAAGATACCTCCATATCCAACAATGTCAACTTCAAGATTTGCCTGCAACACCAATAAAGAACTTGTTCAGATAAAATAATCCTGCAGCATTGGCAAAACCATTTGAATGATAAGAGATCTGGATACCTGGTTAGCTAGAGAAAGGGCATGATATTGCATTCTAGGACTGCGGCCAATATCACCCAACACAACCACACAGGCTCGACCTCTCTTGTTGCTCATCTTACCTTTTCCCCCGATCTCTTTCTATGAGCCTTAAACTATCTTCTCATTCAAGATCGTTACTTAGTTCATCTGAAAAAGAACAGTTCGATTGTTAAGAGCTAAACAACTAGGCATTTCTTCCGAGAACCGTAAACTGCAATGCATCGATCCGATAGTACATCACAGAAAGCAGGAATAAGGGAAAATTGCTGGCAACCAAGTCACTTCAAAGAATGACAATTTTAACCCATCAAAAGATATAGACAAACTGCAATGCAGTATTTCATTCAGTTCGAGTAAGCAGTGCCTAGCTGAGAGCCAGCAGTTAGCATCAATAGAACTGCACCTTCCATGGCGGAAGAGGATCGTATCAGAGAACTTTGAAACGAAAACCAAGCATTGATGTTGAAAGTTGAGAAGCATGTTTTGAAAGAAAGGCGGAAATGAATCAAACGTTGATTTCACAGACGGGTAGTCATCCAATTTATACGCAATTCTCACAAAGGGCAAGCGACTACAAATATCGCCGGCGAGTATTAGAATTAGAAAAGAGCACAACTTTTTTCATTGCCCGGCGGGTAGCAGTTCTGATCAAGAACGGAAGATAAATCGGAGTGAAATAGAGAAGAAATTACTGCGGTAGCGGAGCAGGCGGTGGTTGGAGTCCCAATCTCTGACTACGCCTGCGCCGTAGATCAACTGCAGCCGACGGTAAACAGAGAGCGCGGAGAGGAGACTAGCCAGCCAGACGTTAAAAAACACGAGTACACGACTCCGGCCGTCCCGATGGAAAGTAACTGGGCCTAACTATAACTTCGGTAGTCAACCTTTGACTAGAAAAGCCCAAAATCAATCATCGACTAGGTTCGTGGGCTCATGGGCTCGCCTCTCCGCTTCCCTGCCGCCGGCGCCGCGTGTCTATTCATCCAAAACCCCGCAAAAACCTCTCGCAACTCTCGCGTCTTTATTTGCGCCTCCTTTCCCACAGTCCCTCTTCTCAGCTGTGCTGCGCTGATTTTCTGCTGCAGAAGACGGGAGAAAAAATGGCAGCAGCTTTTGAGACCTTGGGCGACATGTACGATGTGGCGCTGAAGCCTCGTCTCCTCCACACGCTGATGACCGAAGATGTTCCCGACGAGAAGGGGCCGCTTGACTCGTCCAAGTTGTCGAGGGTCGTGTCAGTGATTAAAACGCACAAGCTTTTGTCTGAATGCTTCTCGGAAACAATGGAGGAGAAGCAAATTAAGCGGTGGAAGTCCGCCGTTGAGGAATGGCTCAATCGGTTGATTTCCCTCCTGGATAGTATAAACATGGTACCTATCTTTTGAGTCTCAAACTTTCATTTGCAGACTTTTCTCTTTGTGCATCGAATCTTTACTTAGGGGGGTATGCGGGTCTATGGTTTCCAATTACTGAAGTTGGTTCCTTTTCACCTTTTCCTTGGCGAGTGGAGTAATGAATGACTGCTTATGGTCATATTATTATCATTGTTTTCCACTTAGGGTACCTTTTCTGTGTTTCTCCCTGAGTAAATGGTTGATTCTGTTTTAGCCAGATAAATGTTGGGCTGGGATATGTTTGCTGGGAGTAACAAGTCAAGAGTGCAGCCCTGAGCGTTTCTCGGCATCATACATGGCCTGGTTTGACAAACTTCTATCAACTATGCAGGTATTGTTGTCTATATTCTCTTTAGCTGCAACAGTTGCAAATTTGGCAGTTTCATTCTGAGATGTTGGTCTTTCTTTGTTTACTGGCTTCTGTTGTTAAACTCATAAGTAATACATTTCCCATTATCCTATCAGTCATCTGGTGATTCTCAGTTTCTAATGGTGGCTTCTTGTGCGTCCATGTCGGATCTGATTACAAGGTTCTTTTCTTCTTCAGAACTATGTTCTTACTTTTCAGCAGCTCTCTTAATCTTGACGCTAGGATTCATCTGATTTAGGTTGGCTGGATTCCCAAAATTGAAGAAGGATGGGACCTCTTGTGCTGGGAAACTCATTCAACCACTTCTGAACATGTTGAAAGAAGATAGTACAGATACTGTGCAGGTCGGGACTTTCTAACGAATATTTAAGAACAACAATGAAATATCCCCTAATTACTCGTTTTCTCTGTGGAAAATTATTATGCAGTCTAGAAATTGTTTAATATGATAATGGTTTCAGAATATTGTTCTGAAATTTCTTGAATAAAAAATTAGCATCCTTTATGTTCAGACCGCTGACATAGTAATAGCAATAGATTCAGGAACATACATGTCGATTTATGGCTGGGTACCATTATGCGTGGTTGTGAGCTTTCTAAAGGGACAAGTTATGCCCAATCTACTGCCTCGTGGATTTATGATCTGATTCTAGGTTCAGACGCATTACTGAGCACATTTCAGCTGGTAACTCTGTTTATGTTGGCTGTGGCTTACAGGAAAGGGCATTGCATCTGTTATGCACTATTATAACTTCATTTCCAGCTTCTCTTCCTCGCTATTATGATAGTGTAAGTCTCTGTAGCTTGTAAAAGCTTACATATTTTTCTGTTATTTGCTGCAGTTATGAACTTATGATAATGGATTATAACTGTGCAGGTTGAAGCTGCAATTGCAACAAAAATACTGTCAGGAGATGGCAGTCTTAATTTGCAGAAGGTGCCCCTCATTGTTTTATAGTCTTCTTCTGGATCTTGGTCGATGTTTGTACCACCAAAATTTTGCATATCATTGTGAAACTAACATCTTGCATGATACATATTCTGTTCAATGTTTGCATCCAGAAGCTTGCCTATTGCCTGGCATTACTTCCAAAATCCAAAGGAGATGAAGATAGTTGGTTGTCACTACTCCGAAGGATTCTTATGTTGTCAAATGGTTTCTTAACTGATGGCCTCCGTGGGTTTGAAGACGGTATGTATTACTAACATGACGCTTTGCTCCTTCTGCTTGGATATTCCCTAAATATCTGTTTTTGTGTTGCAGAATCTAAACAGGATGAAGCTGTGAGATTGATGTTTCCACCAGAGAAGGAAACTCCAAAAACGATATGGGGTCATACGTTGGTAGAACAAGTCTCAGGCAAGGAAAAAAGGATGTCAAAGTTATCCCCTGTCTTGTTACTGATGTCCAGCTGTTCCACCATGCTTACCAGTTCATACCCTGTTCAGGTAGTGTTCATTTATAGAGGAGAGCTAAAGTGACATCGATGCATCGATCATGACATTATGGGACACGAAAAAAGAAAAACATCGTATCTTATATCCCTTTCAATTTACAAGCAGGTCAATGTTCCAGTTCGGTCATTGTTAGCACTTGTGGAAAGGGTCTTGATGGTTCATGGCACATTGTCAGATTCTATGTCGTCCTTTGTGATTGCAGCTGAACAAGAGTATGTGTGTTCAGAGCTCCCAGTTCTGCATTCATATGGCCTGGACCTCCTTTCTGCCTTAATAAAGGGCATGCGAAGGTAAATTACTATTTTTGGACACAGTCAAGTGGAAGTTACCCTCGCCCCGTTTGAGTTAACTTTGATGTTGCTTACTTTTCCCTTAAACAGCTACCTTGTCCATATAGACTATCTTGAATCTTGATTTTGTTTACCGCCTCCTATCTGTTGAACTTATACAATTTATGTGTTTTTCTTTGATAGTCAACTACTGCCACATGCTGCATATATTGTCCGACTGGTGAAGGAGTATTTCAGAAGATGTCATCTGCCAGATTTAAGGAAAAAGGTGTATTCAATCTCACAGATGTTGCTCATATCCATGGGTGTAGGTACGTGAATCTCTCAAATTGCTTTTGTCAGTCTTTTGTGTGGTAAGTTTTTTTTCAGAATGCAGCTTATCTGATGCAACTTGAGAAACTATACACTACTGAGCTCTACTGAGGCGTAGATGAGAGACATCAGAAGTGTCGTTTTGAAACATCTGAACATTATATGCAGTGTTAAGTTCTTTTTCAGGCTTGGTTTGATAACTGGCCCTAAGACTTGTATTGCTTTTTAAGCACATTTATATTTTTTTATGTTCTTTTCTTATTGTGTCTTTGAAGTTCAAATCTACCTTCGCAGGTCCTCCATGTAGTTGGTTGTAGGTAACGACTCCAATTTTATGATCACACAAAATTAATTGAATTATGCTCATTAGTTGTTAAGTCTATTCCAATGTTGCTGCCATGATGTTTCTATGGACTTTTTACTGTGATCTAATGTTGAAGTACTGAAATTCATACCGGAAAACAAAAAATAACTAAAGCAGGACTTGACAGAGTTACCCACTCGTTTTTGCTTATATAACTAAAACCCCAATATGCATATTGCAAATGTATTCAGCCTAACAATGACAATGTAAAACTGCATGTTTGACCATGGACAGGTATTGCAGACTATCTTGCACAAGAGGTTGTAAACAATGCCCTTGTTGATCTGCATTCTGTTGCTCATCACACAATTGGTGCTACGTCAAATGCTTTTTCTGAGGCATCATTGCAGCCTTTCCAGAGGAAAAGAAAGCACAATGCTAATGGAGTGCTTGAGCAGCAGCAAAACACATCCGCATTGGAACTGACCTTACTTGATAATAAGTCAGCTGCAATGCCAGTGAAAATAGCTGCACTTGAGGCAATAGAAGCACTTCTTATTGTGGTACTATTCTTGTTCAGTATCATTTCAGCAGTCTGTTAATATTAGGTGGCCATGTAAATGAAATGTTAGTTCTAGTCTTCACTACTAATGGTGGGTTAGAAGATAGTATGACCTCAATCCAAGTCAAATGAGCTGCAACTATTTTCTTTGAAGCTCAACTTCAAGCCGCAGTATCTTTTTTCACTTTTCAAAGAACTCAAAGACGGCATAGGTCTAGGATTTGCTTAGTACTTGATGTAGAGCTAGCTCTCAAAACTAACAGCCTCATTTGTCTTTGCTTCCGCCATGCTGTATGTTTTTTAGTTCCCACTAGGCAGCAGCATCATAAACCAGTAAATACCCTTAATATGTGGAAATGTGCTCATTTATTAGGTTTCGTTGGTACCAAAATGTGAAGCCTTTCAGACACTTTTTGTTTGTTTTTGTTGGCAGGGTGGTGCTCTTAGATCTAAGTCCTGGGGTCCAAGTATTGATAATCTCATAATGAACATAGCAAACCATTGCTGTATAGGTAGATGGGGGAACGAAAGGAGTTTCTTGTCAGATGAACACACTTCCGTGCATTCAGATTTTCAACTTGCAGCTTTGAGGGCACTTTTGGCATCTCTCCTTTCCCAATCTAGCACTCGCCCCCCTCATTTTGCACAGAGTCTTCAGCTTTTCCGCCGAGGTAAACCTTCTCTTTGGCCATAACGCAATGCATCAGTTTAAATGATAGTAGAAAGTGTTTGTTTTAGCTTTTGTCGAACTTTTTCATAATAAGTTTTAGTAGAATGAAAGAAAAGTGTGTATCGGTGGATTTTAGGAAAAGCTGAGTTTTGATTGGATGAGGTATATTTTAAACAGGTGACAATTTCGAATGTGAAATATTATTAGAGAGTTAACGTTTAGATTTGAATAATTTGTTTGAATTAAGGGTAAATAGTCGTTTTAAGAAAGTTCGATTGAAGAAGTGTGTTTGTTTCAACACATAAGCCAACTTTTCCTTTTTAATTTACTAATTTCTAAGCCGAAACAAACACGCCCGAAAGATTATTAGCTGACAAATTGCCTTATGGGTGTTTTCTTATCTCCAGGAAGACAAGAGACAGGAACAAATATCTCTTACTTCTGTGCCCATGCACTATTAGCCTTGGAAGTGCTCGTACATCCTCGCGCATTGCCATTGATAGATTCTCATTTGAAGAACTCCCATGATGAGGTGGAGGAAAACACCATGTACAGAATTGATGACATACTACACCAGAGGTGGATAGACGGAACCAAGGAAACCAATGGCTCACCAGAAAACGTGGAAAGACAAACCAACATGGAAGAAACCCCTTGTGAAACACTCTCCACAGTTCATCAATCAGGCGAGAAAACTTCTGTGGGCAATGCAGAGGCTGAGATGAGGCCAAGCAATGATGAGATGATGGTGGATGTAAGACAGCCTAATAATGAAATAGCTCCAGGAGATAGAACTTCTGTGGGCAATGCAGAGGCCAAGAAGAGGTCAGAAAATGATGCAATGATGGCGGTTTTAAGAAAGCCAAACAATCAAACAGCACAGCTCCAGGACTTTGCTTCTATTGGTTCTGCTGAGGATGATGATTCTGTTGCCCCGGGGGACAAAAGTACCGAGCTTGATTACAACAGAGATGTAGCATTGGCGTCTCCAAAGAGGGCGGCTGCTATTGGTGTTGATGTTGAATCAGATAATGAGTCGATAGATTCAATGCCAGATATTAAAGATGTTGATCCCGATTCTGATTAGCATTGGTTAATGGAGTGGGTTTAGGCTTTAGAGATGAACCTCAGGAGTTGAAAGGCTCGTTGTTTTCCTGTTTCTGTAGCCTGATGAGAGGTGGATTGTGTTGTTTCAAGGATGGTACTAGACTTGATGTGCAGAAACATCATCGTAACATAAAAATTTGACGTCAAACTTTGAAGAATTCGAAATTGCTTACTCTCAATCTCCAATCGTCAAATGGAAAAAGTCCCAGAGGAGGCTTACCTGCCAGGGTCCCAAGTCATAATTGACTACTTTATGGAGTGAAGGTTAAGTTAGCATATCGAGATTAGAATGTGGGTTAAGTTAAAATAGAACACATTAACTCCACACATCATCACAAGGGCTGGATGATTAATGTGTTGGATAGAATTACAATGTGAGATTACCAGAATCCTTAACATTCTTATTAGCTTAGGACAATGATGTATTTACAAAGCGATAGATGGTATTATCAAGAACAGATACATACTTTAAAAAACTGACATAAATTACAAATGGAAATCAGAACCTACTATATCAATAGGGAACGAAGCAAGAGCTTTTTTAGCCACACGAATGACTACTTTCTTTTCTGAATGACCAACAAATTAGACACCAAAGTACAGCTAACAACATGTAAAGCTATAGAGCTTTTTTCCAGAATCGACGGCCACGAAAATCACCTCTTACACCTGTCAAGAATACATGTGCTTCACAAATGCGGTCATCGTGATTCGAACACAAGACCTCCCGACCACAACAGGCTCTGATATCATGTGAAGAACCAGATGGTCCCAATAACTCGAGTTTTTGGGAGAAGTTCAATAATAAATTTTATACCACTCACTAACAACACCTTCGCCAACTTTATTAATGACCACCTTCGCTTCTCTAATTTTGGGCCTCGTAGATGAAGGTACCCATTGCAAAATCCTTGTAGTCCTTGAGCGGCTCCAAAGTCCTGACCACGTAGCTCATCTTGGGCCTATGCCTGGGTCGGAGACTGAGGCACAGGTAGGCCAATGTCGCCGCCTTCCTCGCCTCAGTTTCCGAGTACTGACCATCGAGCCTCGGGTCCATGATCCTGCTCATTCTCCTCGGGCTGCTCAATATGGGCCTAGCCCATGCCACCAGGTTCTGCTCCCTCAGCGGCCGAGCCTTGTCCACGGACCTCCTCCCCGTCAGCAGTTCTAGCAACACCACCCCAAAACTGTACACGTCACTCCTCGACGTCAGGTGGCCCGTCATGATGTACTCCGGTGCAGCGTAGCCAGGAGTGCCCATGACTCTGGTCGAGACATGGCTTTCGGGTCCTTCCGGCCCGTCTTTCGCCAACCCAAAATCGGATAGTTTAGCAGTGTAATCGGAGTCCAAGAGTATGTTGGAAGCTTTGAAATCCCGGTAGATCACCGGCTTCTGGGAATCGTGAAGAAATTGGAGTCCCTTGGCAGCTCCCAGCGCTATCTTCATCCTCGTTGACCACTGAAGCGACGCCCCATGACCTTTCGAAATACAAAATTAAGGATAAACATAATTTATTAACCAAACCTATCAAAATTTACAAATTATTAACGAAACCTTTCGAAATATAAAATATTAGCCAATTCTTTTGTAATTCTTCAAATATTAGCCATTTTCTGTTAATATCATGATATGACAGTGATATGATGTGCAATTATTATTACCATAGCGGTAAGATCATTATATGACAGATATGATAGTGATATCACTACAACCAATTTTCTTCTTCCCCCAAACATAGCAAAATGGATATTATTTTGTAGATCTTAATAGTGCGTCATTTCTATGCAAAAAAATTGTAAAGAGTTAAAATGAAAGAGATATGACACGATTAAGGTAAATGAGCTATTATAAAAAACAACATTTGACTAGTAAAAAAACTTTCCTCTATCATCTGAGATCCATGACAATTGACAGGCTATCAGCCAAATGAAAAACAAGGAAGGTAACATTACCAGTCCGCCCATCTTGACACCCTTCCTTATCCATGTACATTTTTTGCCATTAGATGAAAAAAAACAGACAAATTACATTTGTATAGCCAAAATTTTGGTGTTTGTGGCAATAATAACAATTTTTTTAGAAATACACAAAATAAACAGAATTTTGAAATTTTCAGGACAAATATAGCTATTTGCATTACAAATTTTAATGATGTTAGAAACTTATGGAACTAATATGCTGAACCCGACATTTGAGTCTCGGAAGCGATCGCTAGAGGATTTAGGAGGAGACCTGGGTGTCCCCCCTATTCCGAAAAAGCAATTTGTGGAAGCTAATGCAGTCTCTGATCAAGTGGAGGTAGCCAGCCTTGAATGGCCCCAGCCGGATAAATGAAGCTTCTGGCCTGTAATGTGAGAGGAATTGCACCATCCCTCACATTCCAAACTGTTGTCGGTTTAGTTCGTTCCAATAAACTGGATCTTGTGTTTTTTTCGGAAACACGTTCGAGACGGAGAGTAGTTTCCCGCCGTTTGCGTGGGTTAGTGTTTGAGTCTTCTTGTTGCTTTTTTGTTGATGCTATTGATGCTTCTGGTGGTTTAGTTGTGTCCTGGTCCCCCGAAGTTGATGCTTCGGTGTTTTTTCATTCAAATTTCTGTGTTTGTGTTCAAGTTAATGAAATGAACTTTTTGTATGTGGCGATCTTTGTTTACATTAGTTGTAATGTTGCAACCCGAGCAACTCAGCTGGACCAGCTTCAAGACATTTGCGCTGGCATCCAAATTCCCTATGTTATTTTAGGTGATTTTAATACGACTCTCCATGAGAGCGAGAAGGATGGTGGTAACCAGTGGAATGCTGCGCAAGCTCTTGGCCTCCGTAATTTTTTTCAAAACCTGGTTCTTCTAGACCCTGGCTATCAGGGGGGATCAATTTACCTGGACAAATAAACGGATGGGGCGGCCTGTATTCGAGAGAGACTGGACAGGGCTCTTTGCTCCCAATCCTGGCTTGATCGTTTTCCTGATACCTTGGTCAAACACTTTACGGATCAGGGATGGGATCATCGGGCGCTCCTCCTCTCTGATAAGCCCCATGTTCGTAATAATCGACCTCTTTTCCGTTTTGATGCCCGTTGGGCGGACAATCCTGAAGTCAGAGCTATGGTCTCTTATGTCTGGCAGGAAGACATCCAAGGCACGCCGATGTTTTGCCTTTGGGAACGCCTTAAGAAACTGCGTCATTTATTATTTGACTGGAGCAAAGCTGGCACCACTAATTCCCTGCGGAACATCAGAACTCTCCAGGGCGAAATTGAGCGAATCAAGCTCATCCATCCTATTGATTGGGATGAGATCCGCCGCCTCGAAATTGAATTGACTAGACAATGGGAGGCGGAGGAAGTCTATTGGCAGCAGAAATCTAGAGTTTACTGGTTAAAGAAGGGGGATAAAAACACGTCGTACTTCCATAAGGTGACTAGGACTCGTCGTAAACGGAACTTTGTGGCAGGATTAAGAGATGAAAGTGGTGAGTGGGTAACTGATGAAACAGGGAAAGCGGATATAGATACTACTTTCTATGGCCGGCTTTTCACTTCTGAGAATCAGGCCCTGAATATGGGGGAGCGGGTTGATGCCCTGCCTATCACTCGTAGTGTTACCCCGGAAATGAATGATTTTCAATTCTGAGAATCAGGTCCTGAATATGGGGGAGCGGGTTGATGCCCTGCCTATCACTCGTAGTGTTACCCCGGAAATGAATGTTGGCCTGGCAGCTGTTGTCCTCCCGGATGAGGTTCGTAGAACTGTTTTTGCGATGGGATCTAAACAAGCCCCAGGGTCATATGGTTTTACGGGCAAATGCTTCAAGGCCCTCTGGGGGATTGAAGCAGTATGCTTGTTTTTTACGACTAGAAAAATGCTCCGTAGCTTTAATCACACTTGTCTCACGTTAATCCCCAAAGTAGATAATGTGGAGTGACTGGAGTCTATGAAACAGTTACGCCCAATCAGCTTGTGCCAATTCGTTTATAAAATTATAACTAAGATCTTAGCTGAACGATTGTCGTGTCTCTTACCTCACATCATCTCGGCGGGCCAAAATGCGTTCATTCGGGAGCGCCAAATTGTTAATAATATCCTCCTTTGTCACGAGTTAATGCATTATTTGAAAATAAAAAAGCAAAGGAAGAAAGGGTACATGGCTCTTAAGGTTGACATGGAAAAGGCCTATGATAGAGTTGAATGGTCGTTTCTTCTTGCGATTTTGAACAAGATGGGTTTTAACTTAGTTTGGCAGGGGTGGATACATGAGTGCCTTCGCTCGTCGTCTTTTTCTATGCTGATGAACGGTACTCCGTCAGGGTACTTCATGCCAACCAGGGGCTTACGCCAAGGGGGCCCTCTTTCCCCTATTTTTTGTGTGCTCTGCACGGATGGGTTTGCTACGCTCTTGAGTAAGGCTATCTCGGATAAGTGGCTGGCAGGGGTCAAGGTTGCTCCGCGTGCTCCCCGGATCTCGCATTTGTTTTTTGATGATGATTCCTACCTGTTCCTGCGTGGCACGCTCGAGGAATGTGAGAATTTGATTGATGTATTGAATGAATACGAGGAGCTTAGTGGCCAGCGCGTCAATCTGGCTAAATCAGCAGTCTGCTTTAGCAAGAATATTGCCCTGCCTGACCAAGAGTTCTTAGCTGCTATTCTGGGAGTGGGAGCGGTAGGGGTGCACGATAAATATATGGGGATCCCTACTTTGATTGCTCGTTCTAAAATGGAGACTTTCCGATATTTAGAAGAAAAGTTGTTGGCAAGGCTTCAGGGATGGAAGCAGAGGACATTGTCTTTGGCAGCTAAGGAGACTCTTATTAAATCTATTGACTTGGCATTACCGCTGCATGTGATGTCCTATTTCAAATTGCCCCTCTCGCTGTGTCGCCTCTTGGACAAACATGTAGCTCGCTTTTGGTGGGGTGATAATGAGGGCCACTCTAGAATCCGGTGGATAGCCTGGCGTGACATGTGTAGGAGTAAGCATGAGGGGGGAATGGGTTTTCGTCGGTTGAGAATTTTAATCAAGCTCTTTTAGCCAAGATTGGATGGCGTATTCTTGTGGAACCTAATTCCTTGATGCCCAAAGTCTATAAGGGAGAGTACTTCCCTTCAAGGCACTTCCTCAATGCTAAAGCTCGATCTCGCCCTTCTTGGGGTTGGCAAAGTATCTTGTATGGTCGGGAATTACTGGAGATGGGCCTTAGGTAGCAAATTGGGAATGGGCGTTCGGCGTCTCTGCTTCGATCCCCCTGGATCCCTCAAATGCAGCTTGATCATCCGCGGTACAATCCTATTGTTTTACTGGAGGGGGGTGATCCTACAGTGGCAGAGGTGATTTGTCAAGGGGAGGGGCGGTGGTGTGATCTCAAACTCAGCCAATGGTTTGATCCCCCTCCGTATTATAAAAATTATTCCCCTGCTGAGGCAGAACCTAGAGGATAGATTGATCTGGCATAATACTCCGGATGGAGTGTTCTCTGTTAAGTCAGCCTATCACTTGGCCATTGCGCTAGAGAGGAGAAAGATTTGGTGGAAGGCGAAGGTGAGTTGGATGGATAAGTCCAGTTGGGTCCGTTTATGGGAAGTTAATATCCCCCCCAAGCTTAAGGTTTTTGTTTGGCAGATTCTGAACCAGATCCTCCCTCCCCACCATGGAGGCCCTCATCGATAGAAAAATCCATGTTCTTCCTCGGTGTCCGGTCTGTTGGGGTGGACCAGAAATCATGGAGCATTTGTTTCTGGATTGTCCGGTTGCGTGTGCACTTTGGGGATATTCGGGGCTGGAGTACTTAGGAGAGGGGTTGCCTCGGCATACTTTCCCTTTGTTCCTTAAGCGTTTAATGGCTTTAATCCAACATCCCCAACTTCTTATGGTAGTTGTCTCAGTCCTGTGGCGCATCTGGAGGTCTCATAATTGGGTAGTCTTTGATGGCAAGCAATATGGTTACCCTGCGTTAATGCGCCAGTTTTCCAGCAGTTTGAGGAATGGGTGGATTTGCCGGTTAATGCGTACCCCCAGCACCCTCTCCCAGTTGTACAACAACATGGGTTGTCGGGTCCCGATGGTGAGATTGTTTGTCAATGGGACGGGGCTACTAGGAAGGGGTCTCATTCGGCAGGTGGATTGGTTCTTCTCGCTCCGGCTGGGGATGTTCTTATGGCCAGCGGGGTTCAGTTCCTTGGGATTGATGAACCATCTCTGGTGGAGCTTCTTGTGTTCAGGGAGGCTATTCTTTGGTGTTTGGGCCATGGGTTCCCGGAGGTAAGGTTTGAAGGGGAGGCTAAGGTGATTATCGACAGAATCAATCGTGCGGATACTCGAGATAACCGGATGGGCGCTGTACTGGAAGAAGTGTTGCAGCTTGTTGGCAGCACCCCTGGGTTTAGTGTTTGATTCATAGGTCGGCGTAGTAATAGGGTAGCCCATATGGTGGCTAGAAAAGCCCTCCCTTTGTACCCGACTAGGAGTCATTTTTATTTTATTTTCAGGCCTGGTTACTGTCCAGGATGTAACTCTCTTTATTTGGAATCAATATACGATTATCTTTTGTAAAAAAAAAAGTTAGGTTAACGTTAGGCTGACTAGAATGCCAAATCAACGCACACATCAGCGACAACTCAGTCGTTGCCGACACGTAGATTTCACGTGTTATTTTAATTAAAAATTCAAATGGATAATTTTAATTTTTCTATACCTTCTCCGCCGACCTCTCCTTCCCGGCCTCTCCCCTCGAAACGAAGATGGCAAAATCATTATCCATTCTTCC